CCCCTCTGGTCTGGGAACGTCTCGGTGTCCCCCAGGACGAGCTGGAAGGTGTCGCTGCGCAGAGCGCGGGGTCTCTCCTTTTGACAAAGTAATTTTATGATAAGATACTTGTACTTGTGTGATACTTTATACAACACTGCCTGTGTATACATGTCCTCCTTGGCCCATGTCATCCTGAGCACACTGTCGATGTTTGCATCACACAGTTGTCCAAAATGATGTAATCACTGATCCGCTCCTGTCTTTTAGACGTATAAACCAATGCTTAAGAAGGGCATGAATCAAAGAAACATCCAACAGGTGAAGTATAAACTTGAAAATAGACGTAGAAATAAGATCTATATAAAACATAGAGCAAAGGATGATAGTTTGGGTGGTCCTCCTCCAGAATGTGAAAAAGTGTGGCCAGATGATACTAAAACTGAACCTTTTGGTCATCAAGGACAACATCATGTCTACCACATCTCATCACACTCATAACAGTGAGGCACGGTGGTGGTGGCATCATGCTGTGGGGATATTTTCCATGTCCAGCCTGAAGAATCTGCAGATGTTTGGTCCTGAAGAACCAACAGATGTCAGAGGTTGGACGGACCAGGATCATGGAGACAGATCTGGAACTGCTGACAAAAGTTGTGACATAAGGAGAGGGTGACATGTTTGGTTCTTTGTTACTTTAGTTTCACAGTGAAATACTTATGTTGTGTAAATAAAACCCAACAGAGACATTCAGGAAGTGTGAAAACTTTTAAAAGGCACTATATATACAAACTGTGTTTCCTCAGTGAAGGATGTTTAAATGGAAAAAGTCCAGATGAAGCCTGACTGGATGTCATCAGAACAAGCAGGTAGCAGCACGTGTTTCCTGTGAATTTGTTTCCAAAACATCACTTGTGCTCTAATAGCAGCTTAATTCACCTGGATGTGGGCTCCATTAGGGCCAAAGAGTTATTTATGATGTGTAGCTTTACTCTGCTGGAGCTGCTTGTTTGAGCAGCTAATTGTGGAGGTGGACTCTGTGGAAATTGGATGGTGAGGCAGAAAATCCTGTACACTTTTAACTATCATGTGAATAGTTTTAAAACCTCCTTATCTCCCATTTGGTTATGGCCTAATTGAAAAGCAAATAGTACACCTGAGTGCACCCATGAATCAGTGAGTGATCTGTCCTTAGCTGCAGCAGGAATGAATGTCTCAGAGAGCCTCCCTCACACATTATCTATTACACTATTGTTTGGAGGATTAATGTCTTCATGTTTGTCCTTTTCACACACATTAAGTCGTTTCTGGAACAACTTCAGGGTTCTGATGCTGACAAACCAGATGGGCGCTGGATGACGCTGGGTTGCTTCACTAAGAGTGGAGGATTTAATGACAGTAAGGATCCTGAACGGATTATAGAAAATAACAACTCAAACTGTGT